TACTGAAGGGGAAACTGGGATACCCTGGAATCACTTGGGTAGGATAGTGAGAGCTCCCTGAGGGAAATTCAGCACTTTGTGTGTAATGTAGGCCTTGCAGCAGGAAATGCTGAAAAACATCAGAGGCCAAGTACCGAATGAGAAAGATGAAAAGAAATGGTAAATAATTACCCATTCACATAAAGCAGAAGGGGAATCACACCATAAAAAGCTGAATGCCTGTGGTGCAGGGGAAGGCACTTAACCTTCCTTCTGGCTTTCCCTAGCTTTTTGAGTAGTAGCCTTTGAAGTTTTCACTTTTATTTAATGCAAAGGATTGGCTTTGGTTTAAAGAGGTTTACACAGTATTACAGGTATTTCGCTACAAAGTAATTTTAATATTGCACAGTAAGAATATGGGGTTTATCTGGAGTTGCTCTTATATATATCTGGGGGTAGAATTTGTGTCTTTCTCTACTGATTGCTAAGAGTGCTGGTGAGCGGCAGGCTGGCTTTGCCTGCCTGCCAAGGGGTGGTTACATTTCTCACTAGCCCATGGTGGACAAAGTGCATGGTGGAGTTGCATACAGCCAAAAGGCTAAGGCAATAAACTAAGCTGAAAAATATTTGAAGCCTTCTCAGGAAAAAAAATAGTAGTGTTCTGAGTTAGTTACAGTAACTAAAATCCAGAAAGGTAATTTAATGAATTATAAAGGTAACCTCACTTGTATCATTTTGTAATAATGAAAGAGCTGGTGATTTTCCCTTTGATCAAGGGAAGCCTGTTAAGGTAAACTTTTTGAATTTCAATAAATCTTTTGATACTGTCTCTCACAGTATCCTCCTGGACAAAATGTTCAGCAAACAGTTGGATAAATCTGTCATGTGATGGCTGAGCAACTAGCGCATGGGTTGAGCGCAAAGAGTTATAGTGAATGGGGTAACATCAGGCTGGAGACTGGTCACTACTGGGGTTCCGCAGTTCTCTGTGTTTGGCTCAGTTCTCTTAAACATATTCATAAATTACTGGGACGCAGGACTTGAAGGGATACTAAGTAAGTTTGCAGGTGATACAAAATTGAGAGGAGCTTTTGACTACCTGGAAGACAGGGAGGCCCTGCAGGGAGACCTTGACAAATTAGAGAGATGGGCAATCACCCACCACATGAAGTTTAACAAGGGCAAGTCCTGGATTCTCCACGTGGAATGGGGCAACCCTGGATGTATATACAGACTAGGAAACGAGATGCTGGAAAGCAGTGCCGTGGAAAGAGACCTGGGGATTCTGATCGAGGGCAAGTTGAGTATGAGTTCAGCAGTGCCCTGGCAGCCAGAAGGCCAACCGTGTCCTGAGGGGCATCAGGCAAAGCATTGCCAGCCGGTTGAGGGAGGGGATTATCCCACCCTGCTCTGCACTGGAGCAGCCTCACCTTGAATATTGTGTGCAGTTTTGGGTGCTGCAATATAAGAAGGATTTAAAGCTATTAGAAAGTGTCCAAAGGAGGACTACAAAGATGGTGAAGGGTCCGGAGGGGAAACCGTATGAGGAGTGGCTGAGGTCACTTGGTCTGTTCAGCCTGGAGAAGAGGGGAGACCTCATTGCAGCCTACAGTTTCCACTCATCTCTTCTTTGTGGTGACCAGTGATAGGACCCAAGGGAATGGCCTGAAGTTGTGTCAGGGGAGATTTAAGTTTGATATTAGTAAAAGAAAGGTTTTTCACCTAGGGGGTGGTTGGGCATAAAACAAGCTCCTCAGGGAAGTGGTCACAGCACCAAGCCTGACAGAGTTCAAGAAGCATTTGGACAATGCTCTCAGGCTCATGGTGTGATTCTCGAGGCTGTCCTGTGCAGGGCCAGGAGTTGGACTTTGATGATCTCTTTCGGTCCCTTTCAATTCAGGAGATTCTATGTTTTTCTTAAAGGCACAGTTAAATACAGATTTTGTAGCCCAAGTTTGCAGAAAAGTTGTGCAGGAAGAAATTTTAAAAAAATTATCATCAGAGAACAAAAGGAAGTGTGAAGAACAAATGAAGGTGGGAAGAAAAGTTAGGAAGCTAACTAAAAGAATTTATTTATTTATTTTAAAGTTATATACTCTGCTTCTTGTATATATTTTTATGATGGAGCTCTGTGAAAAAGGCAAAAATCACCCCTATGGTTCAAGATTCTTCATTTGGGAAAATGAGTTTTATTTTTTATCTTTTCAGAGTGCTACATTTTGTGAATTCTGGTTCATACCTTGGTACATATATACATAACACCTTCTCAACACTAAACTTAATAGTGTTTCACTGCTGACTTTAGTGTGGCCACTGGGTTTTTAAAGCTTTTTAGAAAAGTCACATTTCCTCAAGTAGGAAGCTGCAACCAGTAATTATACTGACAAACCAGAAAATGTTTTATCAGCTTTACACCAGTCTTCCTGACAGTATAATTTTTGCATTGTTGAACATGTGTGGTAACTACACTGCAGAAAAGCTAAAACGATGCATAGTCTCGTGCATCTTTAGTTTCTACAGTCAGAAAAATAAATGAGGATATGGTTAACCTAAGATCAGCTGCTTGATTTCTACTATGTTTTACTCGATATTGCTAATATTAGGGTACACATTTTCATTTAAAAAAAAAGAATAATTCCCTGAGATAAAATAATGAATAAACCAGTGAACGTCTCTAGAAATTGCCTGAAGACTTGAGTGATTTCATGGAGAATGACAGAACCTCTCTATGAATTTCTTATATTTTTGTGTTTTCTTATATAAGACAACCTTTAAAGGAGAAACATCGTTGTACATTAAAGTCTAAAAGGATTTTTTTTAAAAAATAAAGTTTGCAAATATTTCCTCTGTAGAGAATTATCCTCTCATAAATACTTACTCTTTGTGTGGCTGTCTGTATGTCAGAAGACTGATAAATGCATCACAGACCACTAGGAGATGCTTAAGTGAAGAGATCTTGAGAAGACTTGAGTCCCTGCCTTCTCAGAAGTCTCACCTTGCATATAAGGCAATGAGGAAGAGAGTAAAATCAAAGGAAAAAGTCAGCCTAAGGTCAGGAGGAAAAAAGCAAAACACAAAACAAACACAACAGAAAGGTACATATACTGTGTAAAACTACTGATGCCAGGGCTTTGATTTTGGTAGGACGTTTATCTTTACAAGTGGAGTTATCAGATTATATTTTTTGTGAATGAATGTAAATATTAAAGGTTTAAACCCGTACGTAATTAGGCCCAGAAGTGCTCTAGGTTGCACTGGGAGATGAGGAGGGATCTTCACACTGTGGTGCTGGATGCAGAATGGGAAGAGGCAGAAAATTTTGGCCGTTGTGGTTTTGTGGTGTTCAGCTTGACAATGAAATTGCTAACTAAAATGGTGGTGCTCTGGGCTGTTGCCATTTTCCTCTTTCCTGATGTTTTTGGACATGGCAGTCTGTTAACACCTGTTTTGTACGTGACTGAGTCTTAATTTATCTGTTGTTGGAGGAACTTTTAATGTTTAGATATAATGAGGTTTAACAATTTTAATTTTATGCCAGCAACATAGTCAATACTGTCATAAGCATGTCTGATGACACACTGAAATAATTCTTTGTTTTTCCTGATACTTTTAATAAAGGGTTATTCTAGGTCCTCACTGCTTTGGTGATGATCTAGTCTTTGTGACCTTCTAATTCTCTTCCAAATTTCTACCTTTTTTCGTGGTGAATTTGTACCCATTTATTCTTGTGCCATCATGGTCCTTTAGTACAAATAGTTCTTCTCCCTCACAGGTGTTTACTCCTGATGTATTTATAGATAAGAATCCCTCCCATCATAACCTTCATGCTTACTCTGCAAAGAGGATCAAATTCTTGTGTGCATCAAACGCTTTTTTAAAGCTGGACTTTTTTCACTTGATTTCAAACAAAACAAAAGAAAACAAACAAAATCCCCCAAATTGTTGAATTGTTGATTTGCAGAGAACAGGAGGAGGAGATGTCAACTCTGGGAAATTACTAAAGAGGATTTTCCAAGTTTGGAACAGGAGCTTGTCTAAGCATCCTTAATATTCTCCCTTTGGGCCATGATACCATTGCTAGGTTATTATTTAAGCACTGTGTCTGACAGTTGACCATAGTAGAGCGGGTGAGTGGGTTTCCTTCCTGTTCGATACTGATATTCCAAATTTAGTGACAAACAGCTGCACTTCAGAGTTCACTGCAGCGCTAGGCACAGTGAGTGAGGATGCACTTGTGGATTATTAAAAATTATGCTGCTGATTGCTGTCTGCAGCAATTTAACAGGTGAAAAGTGGGGCAGAAAAGAGCCTTACAGAAGGTCCAGAGAACAGTATGCACAGCCCTTGCCTATATAACATGTATCACTGGTCAGTTGGATGCGGAAGAGTTAGGATTCTTTTGTCCTATTTGTAAAGAAATAATCATTGTCTAGTGCTAGAAAATTTGACTTGTCATGATGACAATTCAATAGTTTGGTGAATAACGTTTACCCATGAAGTAATACAGCAAGTCAAGATTTGAGTTGGGAGAGGGAGAGAAGCAGTTTAGTTATTTTGGTATGCTGCAACTGCTTTATTCAGTTTCAGTATCTCCCAAATTTGAATTCTTTAATAAAAGTGAGACTGGCCTCTGTCTTACTTTTTTCTTATGGATATCCCTACAATCTTTCCATTGCACACCTCATACATTAACTGCCAAGTAATCAGATTAAGCTAACATAGCTGCATCACAAACTGATTTAAAAAAACCGCAGAACCCTCCAAGTCCTTTATACAAATCGTCACAGTTGATTTTCACAAATGCAGAAGTACAAGTTTTTCCTTTGCTTAAACATAGTGTTCTTAGCTGTTCCAGTTGTTCCAGTGGTTCTGTATATCACCACAGAAGAGTATCATTATAGAGAGAGCAAATTGCTAACATTAAGTTTTCGTCTGCATATTAAAGTGTGCAAAGAGAGAGAGAGAGAGAGATTGGGGGATATATTGTACATAGTAATATTCTAATTTTTTGTCTTTTTTAGCTTCAGGAATGGAGCTGTCTGTCTGAAGAGGACTCTGCCCAAATATTTGTAGTGTCCAAGCTCATTCTCCTAAGGACTCTGGTGTTACAAGTCCATCTTTTTCAGAATGGCTGAGAAGACTCCACCAGGGATCACCAAAAAGTCTTCAAGGTCTACCCTTTCTCTCCCTCCAGAACCAGTGGAGATCATTAGGAGCAAAGCCTGCTCACGGAGAGTTAAAATAAATGTCGGTGGGCTCAACCATGAAGTGCTGTGGAGGACTTTGGACAGACTTCCAAGGACACGATTAGGAAAGCTCAGAGACTGCAATACCCATGAATCTCTGCTAGAAGTATGTGATGACTATAATCTAAATGAAAACGAATATTTTTTTGATCGACACCCAGGGGCTTTCACTTCCATTTTGAATTTCTACAGGACAGGGAAACTACATATGATGGAAGAAATGTGTGCTCTTTCTTTTGGCCAGGAGCTTGATTACTGGGGGATTGATGAGATATATTTAGAATCTTGCTGCCAGGCAAGATACCATCAAAAGAAAGAGCAAATGAATGAGGAACTGAGGAGAGAGGCAGAGACAATGCGAGAGAGAGAAGGGGAAGAGTTTGATAATACCTGCTGCCCAGAGAAAAGGAAGAAGCTTTGGGACTTGCTGGAGAAACCCAACTCATCTGTGGCAGCAAAGGTAAGATAAACAGTAGGCTTAACACAAAGACAGTAGAAAATAGTTTCATGACCAATGCGTCTGACTTTGAGGAATTGACAACTTTCACTAAAATATTCAGAGAAAAGAAGAATCTAAAAATATACATATCATGAAGTGAATACACCCAAATCTGTCCTAAACCCCACTGAAATCAGCAGAAGAAACTGCTGAATTCAGTTGTTTTTAGGCAACTACTGTACTGTGCTTTTGCTGTAATGTGATCAGAAACATCTGTGTGATTCTTAATGGACTTCATATTGAATGAAAATACTGCCAGAGACCACTATTTATTTGTTTGTTAGAAAACCATTTGGTTATGAGAAATGTACATTTCAGTATTGCTTGTCCTGTTACAGGCTCTGCATAGGTGTGGTGTCAGTGTTTCATAAGTTGTGCTGGGTAGATTATCAAAGTGTCAACAGCTGGTCTGGCATGGTTTTACACTGGGCAAGGATTGCAGTACGTTTTCTCTTATACTACATTTTTGCAATCAAGCATTAGAGTGTTCTGTATAAAAATATTAAAGTGCATATACACACATATATATATATTTATATGTATGCCTGTATATATCTGTATGCTGTGTATGTATATAAACAAGTATATATTCTATACATATATACACACTTATACACACATATGTGTGTAAAATACATATATCTTCAGTGAGAAGTGAGAACACATTCAGATGAAGCCTTGTCCTAGTACTGCTGCCTTCAAACAGGCAAGCTGACTAAAGTTTCATTGATACAGTAAATTGTGGAAGCTTGTCCCCAGTTTGAATGACTCAAAACAAAAATGTTCGATGTTTAGATGTTCATGTTAAGCTTAACTGTGGTTTTACTTTCTTCTGTTGTTGATTTGTTTTTGATTGCAATGCTCTTGGACTAAGGTAAGTATTAAAATATGATGGCGCAGTGGCCAAAAACCAGAATCTTGGCAAAGATTTTTCTTGCAATAGCAACTTCTTACTATCGAAGCACAATACACAATTTTTTAAATTTTAAATTCTCATTGTGGACTACCTAACTGTTTAAGCAGGGACTTAATTTTGTAAAAAAAATATTTATTCTGCCATAATAAGATTCATAGTGAATAAAAGCTTATAGAAGAAAAATTAAAGTATTCAGAATATTTTAGAAAACTACATGAATATATTTTCTGCTTCTGAGATACATGTTCTGGGCCATATGTTCCTCTCCCGGGGAAGGAGCAGAGGGGAAACAGATGGGTATAAGTTGTGCCAAAAAGGGTTCAGGGAAGCCGTGTTACACACTGTGATCCCCTGGTACAAGGTAACATCCATCAGCCTCCCCAGCACTTCTGTGACACAGCTGCTACACTGCCTGCAGGACTCAGGGACCAGCTTCGCAGTCCTGCTTGGCTTGAAACGTCACCAATGTGTTCCGTAACAGATCTGTCCTCCTGGATGCAGGCGGGAGGATCTCCTTTCTGAGCCATGCAGCTGAAACACGCTGCCTGTGACCTGGGAGATCGCCTGGTCACGGATGCTGCCTCTGTGACACCCAGCAGGCAGATTTGTTTGTGAAATATTTTCATATACATATATATATATATATATATATATATCAAAGAAGGCAGTTGCATTTAGGGCTTGAGACATATGCTGAATTAGTGTTTTCCTAATTCTAGGTAGGAGTCAACACAGTAAAATGAACCAGATGAATAAAACAAAATGAATATACTGATTTTTCGGTTCTTTGCCTGTGACTTGCTTTCATTCTTTTGCATGAAATATATGATGGTTAAACTTTCATGAGTGCTTGCTTTTGACCAAACTCTTATAACTTAACAGTGCCCTGTCATGAATTTGCTTAAAAGAAGTTAGGCCAACTTTGAACTGTTAAGAAAATTCCCCTTTGTGCTCTCAGACCAGTTTTCTCCTCAGGTTTTGCAGATGAAAGTGGCCGTTTCTTTAATTTCCCAAGGTGTCTAAATAATTATTTTTTACCTTTTTATTTCCCTTTTCCCTCATCTCCTGCTTTGAATGTTATAGATGTATCCTTTCTTCCTACAGGGAGTTTCACATTGCACTTGTATATATATATATGTTGTAATGATTTTCATTATTTCAGTTGCCTTCTGTCTAAGTTAATGCCATTTGATGTGGTTTTTCTGTGGTTCTGGTAGCTAGAAGTCACCATAATACATGCACTCAGTTTCTCTTTCTAGTGACCTTCAGTCTCTAAATACATATATGAGCCAAAATTATAGTCAGATACACCTATGGCATCTCAGACAGCTGTAGAAACTTGTCTGAATGACATAAAGGAGAAAAAAACCTATCACAATACATTCAAACTTGGGTAACATAAAACAAAATGTGCTGAAATCAGTTGGATGTAATTTGAAAGAGTCTGGAGCCATCACAGACTGTGTTAGGTTCTGTGGCAAGGTTGTATCAGAAATGTTTGCATAACATCACTTTCAGATTTCTCATCTTTTGTTCAGTCAAATAAGTTGCTGGTTTGTCCTGAAATAAGAGGCACAACCATCTTCTTTCCTCTGTAGGAGTGGAAAGGATGGTGGCATTTTGACAGTGGGAAATTGGGAACCAAGTGAAGAAATATTACCATGAGCCTCAAATTCTAATACTAGCTCCCTTTCAGACTTCTGTAGAAAGAAATGAAACCATATCAATGTGCATAGCTATCCTACTGATGCCTGTTCAGTCATTCAGATCCTGTGTAGCATCCAAGCAATTGACAGGAACAGCTTGCTTTTTAATCCCTTTCACATCAGAGATTAGGAATGTGAGATAAACACTTGGATGTGGTTTTGATTTTTGACTGTGTCTTGCCACTTCTTGATTCTGCCAAGATCCCTTCTAGGTCTGATCCAAAGCTTACTGAATTAAGAGGGAGTCCCGCTTTGGATTAGGCATCTCAGGACAAATCCTGCGCCTTTCGAGGTCAGCAAAGGTTTGCCATTGACTGCACTTACAGCAAGGTGAAACAGAACAAGGTGACAGTGAATGAGCAGCAGGTGTTTTACAGGACTTGTAACAGTAAATAGGACAAAGCAAGAAGGATATGTGGCAAGAAATGAAAACTATGGTTAGCTAGTAAAAAAGGAATATTATAGGTCAAGCACAATATGGGCACACTTTGCTATGTGAGTTTTTTTAATTTTAGTAAATGAAGACATGCACCTAATCTCAGTCACCAATTAACATATTAGAAGCACAGCAGTTCTTGCTTAGTCCTCACCCTAGCAAAGCTCCCTGTGGATTCGGTAGGTGTTTTAGCTGAGGAATACAGGATTCACCTCCATTTTCTGGTGTTCTCATTCATAAGCTTTTTAAGTAGGATTAAGATAAAGATGTCCAGAAGTCCATCCACTTCAGAATATACAGTGCTATGAAATAAGAAGGAGTACTGGGATTTAGAAAGAGCAGGAATTTTGCATATACTGCATCCCGGAAAATACCAAGGTCTGGTCCCCAAACCATAGAGTTTTACATGAGTCTGGCCTTCTTTGGTCCAGAGGAATATCTGAGTTTTTAGACCAGGCATTTATTTATATTAATTGTGTAAACAGCAGTTTGTAAAAACTCTGTTTTTAAAAAAAAAAAAAAAAAAGTTATTTTTATATTTTGGTCTTCTATTTGACATTGCTGGACTTACATAGCATCCATAGTGCAGCAGCAGCTTTGACCAACCTGTCAATAATTTAAAAAAATTACTAGTAGCATGGTGTTTCCTTTTTTTAAAGTTATATGAAACCTGATGGGGTTGAAAGTGTTCTCTGTTAATTCTGTTTGTTTCACTGCATGGCTGATTTGTCCTTATTTCCTTTTGTTAATTTTGATTTTTTCTTGGGGTTAGTTTTCTGGTTTATTACAAACTGTAACATGAGTATTCTTCCTTTGTAAAAAGCACACTAATTTATCAGCTAACTAATGGATTGTGGATTACAGAAGGTATAATTATCCCAAGCCTGACTGGAAATTGTGAGGAGTTTGTGTGCAGTATTCCCTTATTAATTATTAATTATCAATCCCTTATGAGAAAAAATTCCTTTGGGGGCATGGGGAAAAAAAGATGCATGGAAGAGGAGATTCAGGCCACTAATATTTATTTAGCCACAAGTGCATTATGGGTAGGCTTGCCCCAATGACTTGCCAAGAGAGAGCACACCTATTTTACATTAGGGGCCTGATTCTTATTTTCCATGAGTCTGTCTTATATATAATTCACACTGACGCTCATGCATATTCTTTACAGAACCACTTAAGAGGGGTCTTGGGGTAAGTGCAAAGTAGCAGAGTCATGCATGACTTCATAACAGAGCTGAGTATGATATAGGACATTTCAGTATTCTTTTACCAGTCCTCATAAATGATCTCCTAGATTGTCATGCAGTGTTCATTCAGGGGTGAACCCCAATTAATGGGACACTACTGCTTCTTTTTGTGTTGAAGGTAACATCACATATACTCACAGGACTTTAGGAAAACTTTTAGCTGATTCATATATTGTGAAAAAGAGCTATCACACATAAGCAAAGTGCCAACAGCGGGATGTTTGTACAAAGATATTAAAGTGTTCAAGTGAAAGAAATACATTTTTTATGTTTGCATGCTTTGTTGTGTTATATGAACAAAACACTTTTCTTGCTTATGCCTTCTTCTCAGTTTAAGTTCTGTTAGACCTGTTCTGTGTCATCCTGATTTTGTGAATATTTCTCCCTACAAAGCTTATATTCTATGAACTTTGCCATCTATCTTAGACCAAGGATGCACATTACAGAGTTAAGACTTTCTCTTTTCTAAAATGTGAGGAATGGCTTTTGTATTAGTTTAAGTCCAACAAGTTTTTGTATTGTATATAATATACCATTGGGCATGATAACATTCATTGAAGATAAGTGGTGTTTTCTAGCTAATGTGTGGGTTGAACTTCTGTTTGACCTCTGGCTTCAATTTATTTTTGGGGGGAATTCTGTCACGAACCTTT